GGGGGGGGTGGGGGGGGGTCCCTTATTATAATTCAAGCATAATGGGCCTCAAAATCCCAAAGTCCTATTCTGATTACGGTATTAAGGCCCCTATATTCGCCATGTCACACGCAGCTGGGCTCAGGGAATGTCGGAGCGTCGGCTGGAGAATGGAAGACGTTCATGGGCCCGATACGAAGAAAGGCTTCGAGTTTAGGGTTTAGGGTGTGGGGGTTTAGGTTTAGAGTTTAGGGTTTCAGGGTGTAGGATGGATAACCCTCCGATGCAAAATGGAAGATTCAACACAGGACATTCTAGAAACACACGGGTAGCTCTCGAAATTAAGGCCCCTTTGATGGTCCCCAATATAAAATGGCTTTCTCGTTTCTGACCCTAGACCCTAAACCTAACCGTCGCTGCCTTCATGCGGTGGAAAGTGGGATCTCGCTCTGCAGTGCGGTCACGCGCGAGTTCCGCGAAGTGCTCGGAGAGTAAATACCTGGAGAAGCAGGATCTAAGGAAGGTTCGGGCTTGGGTTTGAGGCTTATGGAGTTTAGGGTTTAGGGGTTTAGGGCTTAGGGGTTTAGGGTTTATAGGGTTTAGGGCTTGTAGGGTTTAGGGTTTGGGGTGTAGGGTTGACGTGATCTAAAGAGAATCTTCACTCCAAACCTGACATGCCTACGTGCCGAATCAGAAATCCAGGAGACCTCAACCCATACTGTTGATGATATAAGCCCTGAATTACCATCAGAAGGACCCTAAACTATGGGAATTATGGTATATATACCTAATTATGGGTAATGCATGATTTGTAAGGCTATGTGTAACTGCAGTCATAGGTAACCATAGATGTAGTAGTGTCGGTGCCGTATTTTCACCCTCAGAAAACCCAAACCCTTGAACTCCAAAATCTGTAGTTACCATGTCCCATGATCCCTTTAGTAGGACTGGGCGCTGGATTACTGCTCGTAGCACTATTCTTATGTACTCATTCTTGCATTTACTAGTGTTATGACAATTAAAGCTGTAGCCCTTAACCCTAAAACCCTAAAACCCTAAACCTTAACCCCAAACCCGACACCCTAAAACCCTAAACCCCAAACCCTAAACAACCCTCAATGCTTCTTTCACTCAGGCGCCGGAGGCCCACGCCGCTCCTCAGGCTCCGCGCCGCCCGGCGCTCCGCCACGCAGGAGGCAGACGCGACGCCGCTGAGCCCCAGCTCCTTCGGGGAGTTTAGGGATTAGGGTTTAGGGTTTAGGGGTTTAGGGTTTAGGGTTTTTCTGTTGGGGCTTCTAGGAGTAAGGGTATGCAAAAATTATTAAAGTACAAGTTGTTCAATATATCTTTATCTATTTGCTTATGTTTCGAAAGGTTTGCTTCTCTTAACCCTTATAGGGCTTATGGTTTAGTTTAGGGCTTCATTAGGGTTTGGGGTTCAGGGTTTGAGGTTGAAGGTCTGCTGTGTTGGGTGCAAGGTTTAGGGCTTCAGGTTTTGGTTGGGGAGGTGGGGGTTAAGGATTCGGGGTTTAGGGTTTAGGGGTTCTGGCTTGATGTAGGTTTCGCGTGTCTTGTGTGTGTGTCTTATCGCATCCAGAAGGGAGGGATGCAAAGGTAGGCGTAGGCGCTGTTGAGGTCTTGGGTTCCAGGCTTCTAGCAGTTACCTTGACTCCAAATAACCTAAGCTTTTCAGCACTCAGATAAAGAGATCATAATAACATGGAACAAGAAAAAGCAGCAGTGAGGCACACTATCAATAACAAGGAGCCCTACAAAGGTGGGTTCTACAGGGTCCAGGTCTGGTTCGCCCTGGTTATTAGCTGTTACGCGGACACCCACTCACCCAGACAGAGACAACAAAATTCGGCAGATCTTGTCGACCCATCATATTAGTACGGCCGCTAACCCTAAACCCTACCTTAAGAACCCCAAACCCACTTTTTTGTAGGTTCTTATTATAAACCCTAATATGGGATTTATAGGGACCCTACACAAAAGTAGGTTTTGGGTTCTTAAGGTAAACCTTAAACTGCAGCAACCCATCGGATCTCAGGTACTTAACTATCCGGCGATGCATGCATGATCATGTATAAGGGTTTTGGGTTTAGGGTTTAGGGTATATGTATATTTCGTTCATTGTACGGACAGAGAGCGGGGACAAGGGGAAGTACGGTGATTCGGGCGGGTCCTGGATTTGCGCTTCGGATTAGGGTTTAGGGTTTAGGGTTTAGGGCTTGGTTTTGCGCTTCGGATTTAGAACCGAGCGGTGTAGGGCCATGTCAACCCGAAGTGGTCCCTAAACAAACCCGACAGATGCACATGGGGTAGTTCCACAAACTAGGGTCCCTTTTAAGGATTTTAGGGTTCCTGACAGGGAGAAACCCGACATGTTCGCGGCTCAATTCCTCATTTGCACACAGACCCAAATCCCTAAACCCTAAACCGTGGAAGAGCTGCCTGCCAGCTCAGGGTCGCAGCCCTTGGTGAATTTCCAGGAGCCAGAATAATTAGCGTAGGGCTTTTGGGGTGTGGTTTAGTTTATGAATTAGAATAAGGATCTCAGAGAATCTAGGAGCCCACAATAAACAAAAGCAGGGTTTTGGGGGGGATGTATATGCTCATTTTGATGGGGTTATCCACATCCTGTCGTGTCTCAGCTCCCATGCCGCGGCCAATCTTCGAAACTGAGTCGGGCAAGGCCCTGGCCACCCATGTTTTCTGAAGCGACCTTTGAGAACAAGTGTCCTTCCCAAACGTATCTTCTGAGCAGCTGTTTTGTCCTTCCTGACTCCCGTCCGTCCAGAGTCAGGCTCTACTACA